TTTTAATCCTTTGCTAAAGCATTGTATCACCTGCACCTGGTGTACACTTTCCACTATAAGAGACCTGAAATCATAATAAGGACAGGAGGCCCCTCTTCCCCACTTAGGCATCACTAGCTTGTCTATCCTCAATCTCCAGGTGTCTGAAAACAACTCTTCATTTTCCCTCTATGAATTGGGATGTTCTTTTGACTTTGTTGTTTCTATCATTACAAGAATTATTTTCTATGACCAAACCTAAACTTGGAATGTAAAGAAAAGAAAATCTTCATAGAATTTTAATTTTTGATTTTTAAAGAAGTACTAATCTCATTTTAAAATGAATGTATGCATAAAGCCCTTAGCTGTAATTTCTGTTAGTCATTTTCTTATTTTTCTCATACCTTTTCATAAATACATACCATATCACATATGTGATACACACATATACACATATATATGTAAACATAAAATCTAGTAGAACTTTAACCCAAGGAAACCACTATTCTGGTCGCCTGCATGAGAGGAAGAAGCCAGGAGTAAGATAAGACCTACCTACTTAGCAGCTTCTTCCCATTTCTTCTGCTTTGGGACAATTTTAAAAAGGGGGAACGTTTTCATAAATATCATTTGCTTTAGTACTTGTAAATGGTTAAATTTCAAAATCCCAAGTTCCTGCTTCTACAGCTAGATTTTACTTTTTTGCAAAAATTTTCTTCTTATCTCATTTTGTTTACTGTATTTCCTTAGACATCTTCTGGCCCAAAAGTTTAGTAAAAGATTACTGTTTCTCTACTCTGACATCATTTAGAGATGGAACAAGTGTTTGCAGGGGTATTTTGGTGAGGTGATATAGATGCAAGAATGAAAAGACAAATTTCCTTCCTCAAAGTTAAACTAGAATCTGATACATTGGTATGAATCCTCCATAAAAATACTCCTGAATTGCCATTGTTTTAAGGAAAAGATTGGTCTAGAGGAAATGTGGGCTTGAATGTCAATTCTTTATTTTTCGTTGTAATTTTACGTTTCTGAGAATAAAAAAGCAGTTGAATAGTATCAAAAATAAGAAATAACTTGTGAAAATCTTTCTGAAATATTATTTAATCCATCCAATAGTGATTATTTTATCACTCTTGATTAATTATGAAATTGAGAATATTTTCTACAAAATCAAAAATCATGAAGATGACCATAAAGGATTTGGTATTGCTTTGTGCTTGATTGTCTTGGAATTTTTACAATGAGAAGTGCTTGCTGGAAGATCTAAACTAAGAGTGGGAAGGGGTTACATGGATATTTTCCCTTTGATTACCTTTAAATTACACAAATACATTTAGGTCCATCTTTTTTTAAAATATATTTTTAAAAATTTGAGTGGACCTTTATTTTATTTATTAATTTATTTATGGTGCTGAGAATCAAACACAGTGCCTCACACAAGCGAGACAAGAGACAAGCGCTCTACCACTGAGCCCCAGCCCCAGCCTTAGGTCCATCTTTTCTACTGGTTATCTGTCAGTTCTAATCTCTCAGACCAATCTGCCAAACCAACAAGGAAAAAGAAAGAAGGAGTTAGCCAGTGACTTGTCACCATCTTCTGAGAGTTGAATTCCTTGTGCCTGCTTTCTTTTTGTTCCCTCTCAGGGTATCCAGTTCCTTTTGTCATCTTGGCTTAAAGAATTGTTCTTCCTCTGCTCCAGGGACTCTGAGCCATTGAAAATAGCACATGTTGACTTAGTCCCCTGAGAGAATTTTCAGTCTCTAACAAGTTAGCCTAGAATTGCTGATGAGCTTTCCCCCTCTGGCCAGATGGGGCTACCAGATACAAGGGTCCCTGCCACAGGATTCTCCATCTTCCTTCCTTATGTAATTTTATATCTGTTGAGGCTTTTGTTTGTTTGCAACTGTTTTGTGAAACAAAGAAACAAAAAAGAAAGTCCTTCATGGATGAGAACTTACTTTGCCCACCTTATTTTCACATGAAAGCTTTACCTCAAAAAAAGATCCTTTTTATAAATCTTCTAGTTCCTCTTTATTTGCTCATTTGCTCCCTCTCCCAGGATTTGCTCATTTGCTCTTCCATTGGCCCACAACAATCTTCCTATTGCTAATCCTTTGGGGTTCTAGGCTGGAGATAGTGGCACACAGGAGGATGGGGGCCAGTAAGTGGGAGGAGCCTCCCTCGACCAGGAAGCCTTCTAGTCCCCAGCTCTGGAAAGGCAGATTTAACATTCTAGAATTTGCATCTGGGGATTGGGAAGGATAGTTGCTCAGTGACTTTTAGTATCTAGAAGCCCTTGCTTCATTCCTCTTAGAATTTCAAGACATTATTCCTTCATCTTCTTTCATTCAGCAAGTGTTGATAGGGCCCTGTGCACCAGGCATGTATTAGATACCAGACCTACAGCTAAGAACTGGGACAGATAAAGTCTCTGCCCTAATTGGTATATGAAGCAATGGGGAAATAGCTAAAATAACAGGCAATTCAGAGTGATAGGGACTCTGAAATGGGCCGTTCAGGCTTATGGGAGCGCATTGGGGTATTCCTGTCTGATTTGAGGTCAGGGAAGTGATATATGAGTGGGTATGAGAGCTGAGAGGAGCAGAGATGGGTTGGGTGGTTAACAYAAGCAGAGGGAAGAGCATGTCTGAAGTCTCCCAAATGGAAAGAGGCTAAATGGAATGTTTCTGGAGTGTAGACCTGAGAAATGCAGGGGGGGGCATGTGGGCAGTGGAGGAGAGGGATAAGGAATCAGGCTCGGAAGATGAATAGGGATCAGGGTGTGGAAGGTTCTAGCCGTCATGTTAGAATTTGATCTTTGTTTCCCCAGGCCAGTGGAAAGTGTTTGGAGGGTCTTTAGCAGGGGCACAACATTTCCCTTTTATGAAGATAACTCTGGCTTTGATGTGGACGCTGGTCTATAGGTGGCCAAGGCTGGAGCGAGGAAGACCTGTGGGGAAGGAGCACAGGGCAAGAGCAGTTTCTGGTCAGCAGACATGCCCTAGTCACAACCCACGGCTGGGGGGGAAGTAGTGAGGAGGGGTGGGAAGGATGGTCTTGGGCAACCTTGGTGGCAGTTGGTAGAAGGTGTCTAGGGAGGAACAGGGGACTTACTGATGGGTCATATTTGACACCTATTCCTGCTTCTAGGCAGCAGTGCCCTCTCTTCTTGCTTGGAGTCATCAGTTTTAGTAGCCTGGGCCCTGGAAAAGCCCAGGTCCTATGAAGTGTGAGTGGCCTTCTTTGTCAGGCACAACCCAGAAGYACAATGAGGAGTCATTTCAGGAATTTTAGATTCTGGGGGGATCTGTGGTGGAGCAGAGTGGGCTGTGCTTCCTGTGCAAACTATTTTTTTGTAACTACTCTTCCCCTTCTGTGGTCTCCATATGACTGACAAACTTCTTATTTATGTATGTCTACTGCATCCTACCATATCAATTTTCTGAGCAGGAAGCAAACAAGTCATTTTCCCTTTGAATACAAAAAGCATACATTCATTACCTCTGTGTACCCGGTCATGTATTTGCAAAGGTGTCTGGGTTACATCCATGAACTACTGGGTTCTGAATATTTGAAATCATTTGTTTGCTTATATATTCATTCTAAATCTTTAATAGACTTTACTGTAAGAAGGAAATTAGACCATGTGCAGAAAATGTGGAAGATAATAATGGAATTATTCTGAATTTCTTGATAAAACCTGGATGAGGCTATGAGGATAAATGGAGGAAAAAAATCTGAATTGTGTTTAGTTTCTCCAGAGCTTGGTTAATAATTTCTCTTACATGTGGCTCTCAAAGTTCAGGAGCTATTACCAGCTCTAGTTGATATGAACTACCTATGACTCTTGAGTAAAAGGCAGATGCTGAAACCTCACCCCAAGATGTTCTGGGCCACAAGGTATGGGATATATTAGTTTTGGTACAATTTTAATGCCAAATTGAATGTCACACTTGTTCTTACCTTGAGTTGTCCAAGAGAAGTTCAATTTTTTCTTCTGAAGTTTAGATATTTGAGTCTAATGAGATAAACTGGCAATAGATTAATGGAGAAAAAACATGCACATTTTATTTGATCATAGTCCTACATGATACAGGAGGCTTCATATTAAACACCCAGAGACCTGGAATGAATTATTCATTTTTATATTTAGGTTCAATGAAGCAGCCAGAACCATGGAGAACTATAATTGGGCAAAAAGGGTCTGAACTAGTGAAAATGACCAAAAGGGCCCAGCAAGGCCTGTCTGATCTGATTCTTCTTGGCCCTTCAGTTGTAGCATTTCTTTCTCCCAGGTATGGGATAGGAACTTTCTGGAATGGGGATCTTATTGATCTATAATAAAAAAAAGTAAGTTGGAGAATTTCTTTATGGTCAACTCTACACAGAAAGGTAGGAGAAAGAGTAGTAGTTTTAGGTTTTATGAATGGCTTTGGGGAAAAAGGATTCCAGTTTCTGTGGCTTACTTTGAGGAAGAATGAGGAGTCAAAGGCAGAAGGACAAAAGTTCAGAGAGAAACTTTCCTTTACTCCGGGGCATCATTTTCTAAGCCCCCAAAACTTTTATAATACAAATAAATTTTGTTTTAGTACAAAATTATTATTTTTTTCTTTTTTAAATATACATGGCAGTAGAGTGTATTTTTGACATATTATACATACATGGAATATAACTTATTCTAATTAGGATCCCATTCTTGTGGTTGTACATGGTGCGATGTGGAGTTTTACAGGTTGTGTATTCATATATGAACATAGGAAATTTCTGTCTGATTTATTTTACTGTCTTTCCTATTCCCATCTCCCCTCCCTTCCCTTCATTCCCCATTATCTAATGCAATGTAGAATTATTCTTATCCAGTTAGATTTAAGCCTGATAAATTGAAGCTGTTCCTTATTGTGTCAGTGACTTCCTAGTCATATAGATTTATCTAGGAAGAAAGTTAATAAATATAAATTTATGGTCATTGAACATTTTTCAAATACTGATATTGTATGCTTTTCCTGTTTTCTAACGTAGGTCCGCGTTTGAGATCTGGTAAATGGTCAGGAGCAAAAATGTTCTGCAGTAAAAAGAAATTGCTTGGTAAGTATTGTGTTCTTCAGATGATATGAAGCGATATGCATTTTAATGTTAACTTTAATTTTTTATGGAGGTTTAATTTATTGACAACACACAAACACTGGTCTTAAGTGTTCTGTTCAACAAGTTTGACAATTCGTGTCTGCATCCTTGAAACTCTCAAGGGTGTATAAAACAAGATATAAAACATTTCTGTCACCTTAGAAAATTCCTTGGTGTGTCTTTTTATTCATCCTTCCTGCATTCCCCACAACCATCTTTTCATTTCTATCAGTTTAGCTTTGCCTGTTTTTAACACAAATATAAATGAAACAACACAGTATTATTCTTTGATCCTGGTTCTTCGGCTCAGTATAAGGTTTTTGACGCATATCTATGTGGTTGCATGAATCAATAGTTTGTTCTTCATTTTTATTTCTGTGTGGTGTGTGCATACACGAACCCTTAAAACCAACTTTACACAGTGGAAATAATTTTGGTTGTTGTAGGAGGAAATACTTTGTTTTCTTGATTGAGTAATCAGTCAACTGGAAATAGTTGGAACATCTCTTATCTGAAATACTTGGGGCCAGAAGTATTTCAGAGTTTGAATATTTTCAGATTTTGTAATATTTGCACAGACTTTACCTGCTTGAGCATCCCTAATCTGAAAATCTGGAATCTGGAATACTTCAGAATCTGAAACTTTTTGGGTATCATGTCAGTACTCACAAAGTTTTGGATTTTGGAGCATTTTAGATTAAGATACTCAAACTATAGTATTAGTAATATTCTGGTTTCTTTAGTGCAGTATCCCAACTAGTAAGTATTGATTTTGCCTTTTGATCCTGGTTAGCCAGTGGCAGTCTATCATGTAGTTTTTCCTTCAGTGAATGTGTATCCAATTTATTGCTGCTCTTTTATTTATTTTTGACCATAGATTTTGTAGACTGAAGGTTGGGCTGGAGTTAATCTACTGCCCCATCCCTCCTAGTGACACCCCTGACAGTTCTTTCACCTACTTGCACAGGTATTGATTTCATGGTGCAGGCCATGCTGTTGGACACTCACTCATTGCAACATAGTCTCAAAATGAGTTACACGTTGTCTCAAGGTTGTTTCCACTGCCGGCCATTAACCACAACCCTCTGGGGCAACTGCTTTCCCAGTGCTAGTCTAAGAGTCTAGAATGACTGTCATTTTTTTTCTTTGTCACTTGAAATAATTTATATCAGACCACTGGTACGATCTTACTATTGTAAACATAAGGTTAGTTAGAATATGGGTAAGTTTCTGACAGAACCTAATATTGCAAAATTTGGTGTGTTAAGAACATGGTCTGAGACCCAGGCCTCACTTGTGTATATATATGAATGTACACACAAAAAAGAGGCAATTTATTAATAAATAAAAGTAAGAAAGCAGAAGAGACTGTAATTGTGCAGTCTAGGGACCATCATTCAAGGCTGTTGGGGGTACAACTTTGGAGGCCCCACCACAGTGAGCTCTATTCATGCACTTGTGTGTTGGTCTAATTATATATCCCCAAATGGAATTTCACTGCACATTATTTTGAAACTCTCTCTTTAAACTTAATACTGTGGTTATAGATATTTTTGTCTGAGTATTTCTCCATAACATTATTCTTATCTACATGTTCCCATAACTTTTTTTTTTTTTTTTGAAAATATTGTTTTACTGAAAAGTTGAAAGAATCCTAAAACGAACACCCACATGCACTTCACTTTATCTGTGGTTGTCACAGTTTGCTACTGTTTCCTCTCTTTCTTCCTTTCTCTTCAAAAAGTGCTATGCTTCTCCTGAGAATAGGCTTTCTCCTACAAAACTACAGTATTGGTACCACATGTAAGAAACATAACATTGATAAATGACATACATTCCATTTTTTAATTTCCCCAACTGTTACCCCAAAATCTCATCTCTCAGAGCTGATTTAAATTTGATACAATATCTAATCACTATTCACACGTTGAGTTTAGCTTTTAATCCATTTACTTTCTTTTAACTTTAGATTATTTTTCTTTATTTTGAATTTTAGGAAAGTCTAGTCCAGCCATTTATAGCATCTTCATAATGGAGTGGCAAAATAGAGAAAGGGGACCAGGAGGGAGAAGGAGGAGAGAGAAAGGGAAGATCCTGGGGAATGAAATTCACCAAAATGTTGTCATACTGTGTGCATGTCAAATGTGTGACAGCAAATCCCACTTTTATGTATAATTGTAGTGCACTAATAAAAAAGGAAGAAAGAAAAAGTATTCTCAATAGTTAATTCCTACTACATTGATTTGGATTGAATGCTTTTGGTACAAATATTATATGAACAATTGTTTTTAAATGGACAGTTGTAATAGTCTTTTGTGGTGTGATAGAAACACGAGTCAGAACCAAATAGGAGTAAACCTGGGCTTGCTGCTTAACAGCTCTTCCTGCTTGAGTTCTCTGAGCCTCACCTTTCTTATTTATAAAAGTTCTGATATATTTTTTTTTAAATGAGAAATGCAGTGTTGATCTTCTTCACACAGAATTTCATCTTTTAGACAAATAATCACTTCTATTTTAAGGAAGTTAAGTGGTTTTTTCCACATAGCTGTGTCTGTTTCTGCACCCTAGCTCTAACTGGCAGAGAAAGCTGAGGCATGTCCCTTCTTCTTGGACCTGTTACAGTGGCCATATGACTTAGAAACTGACATTGGGTCACCATCACTAGCATCATCATCATGATTGGGAATGAGGCATTTTTGTGTCACATTAATTCCTCTCCTTGAGATCTGGTAATAGGGTGGAGAGCTTCTTGAAGTATTTATTCATTCTTTTATTCATTCAGTCAGTCAATCAATAGCATTTTCTTTTTTGGTACTGAACTCAGGGGCACTTGACCACTGAGCCACATCCCCAGCCCTATTTTGTGTATTTAGAGACAGGGTCTCACTGAGTTGCTTAATGCCTCACTTTCTCTGAGGCTGGCTTTGAACTCGCCTCCTCCTGCCTCAGCCTCCCAAGCCACTGGGATTACAGGTGTGTGCCACTGTACCTGGCTAGTAGAAATTTTTAAAGTATATTTTTAAATTTTAATAGACACATAGTAATTGTGCATATTAATRGGGTATAGTATGATATTTCAGTACATGTTTACAAAGCACCATGATCATCAGATCAGAATAACTGGCATACCCCTCACCTCAGACATCTGTCATTTCTTTTCAAAAAACATACTAGAACCCTTATGATATGTTGTTATACCAATTGTAGCTTTTTACAATTCAATATAATATGATATATATATATATATATATATATATACTGGTTTTTATGTTTATGGTAGCAATCATGATTTTGAAACATCTTACTCACCATCATTACAGCGTTATATTTTCCATTTGTTTTTTGTAATTTACCCTCTCTGGATAGTTTGCAGGGGAGGCCCAGCGACAAATTGTGTTAAAGCTTGTATGTGCTTCTCCACAAAACAATCATAAAAGCGTTGTTCATGTATAAAATACTTAATTCAGATCTTATTACTCTGGCAATATGGGAAGCAAAAGAAGTAGATAATTAAGATCTTTCTTTACTAAAGCTGTTCTTGATTCCAAAATGCGGGAGCTGTGGAGCCGGCACGTATTACACCACAAGGGCTGTCCTTAGAGTGTTTATGGGGCATGGGGAAGAGTCACATCAGGGCTGCTTTCTGTCTTCCGTGGGCCTTAGGCACTTCTGCCTTTGTTTTTTCCTTCCTCCATAAAATGTATTAAACATTAGATTTTATGACTGCATTAGTACAAAGACAAATAGAATTCAGACTGGACCCATTATTGTGAATCCATTATTATTTTATTCATTTTTTTCTTCTGATTTTAAAATAAATGAAAATTAAAACATTTTTGAGGGTCCTTAAAATTATCACGGGGCCTACGCACTCTGCCAGCTGTGCCCCTGGGGAAGTCAGCCCTGAACCAGTTTGGGGCCAGCTGCCTTCTAGAAAGCAACCCTAAATGTCCTGGGCAGGAGAGAGAGAGATGGCTTCATGGTTTCTTAGGCTTATTTTTGTGAGCTTTCATGTAGAGAGCAGTCCAGGATGCCTGGAGTAATGTAGCTCTTAGACGTTATTATTGCTACTATAAGTTTAAAAATCATGCGGTGATATAGAGGTCTATGGCACTTACGTATTTTCACTACACACCTGTCCAACTTGTCCATACGTTTGATTCTAGGTGGCTGTGATGTAACATGGTTCATTTAGATCAACAGTGTAAGAATATCCTGGGTTTGACCAGCATTAGTGCTCTAGGTGTGTAAAGCTCTGTTAACACTCTGTAATGGTCCTTCGTGGTGTGATAGAAACATGAGTCAGAAGCAATAGGAGTAAACCTGGGCTTGCTGCTTAACAGCTCTTCCTGCTTGAGTTCTCTGAGCCTCACCTTTCTTATTTATAAAATGGGGTTCGTCCCTTTCTCTCTCTCTCATGGCTATCGTGAAGATGAATGCAAAATGTAATGACATATATGAAGTACTTTACAAATCACAAAAGTACTGTATAAGTGTTAGGCTACTGAATTCATAGAAACATGGTATAGTTCATAGGTTGGTAGGTTTTTATCCTAATATTCTGGGTTTTGCCAAAATGATTTTGTCTGGTTTCATGGCTGACATGAATATTACCTTTATAGGTGGATTTCCTGTTGGCAGACTTAACTTGTAAGGGGCTCTGATTTTTTTTTCCAATAAAACTTTATTTCCAAAAATAAGATAGTCATTCCACCAACTTCTGAAATTGAATATAAACCTACAAAGGTAGAATCTGTGTCTGCTTGCTTGGAGTACAATAAATTTTATACRATGAACACATAATTAAAATTAAATAAACAAATAGTTGACATCATCTTTAAGAAATTGCTATTAGCATCTTCTAAGCTCAAATCTCTCAYATATAATAACCAACTACCAAATATAGCTGTTAATAGCTGGTGATTCAGTGCCTCTATTAAAATCTCCCRAAAGAACTAGAT